TCACTGTTTGATTAAAATTAACTTTTTAGGACAAAAGTACTCGGAAAGTACTCCGAGTACTTTTCTCCTTAAAACTTAAATTTTACACAACTGGGAGTGTCTGAAGTCTTACATGTATTTTGTAATCTTACCTTTGCACATTTACCATCAAATGCCTGTGCACTCTGGCTTTATTCCCTCTCACCTAGTTTAGTACTTTGCGGAGAACGTTGGTACTCGGAAAGTACTCGACTACAACACTGCTTCATAGGTGAGTAAGAAAGAAACTAATCTATCAAAAACAGGTAAATGGGCTATATTTTGTCTCCCCATTATCATGTTGAATGAGCCCAGAAGTGCATTTTGCATACCCACCCACCCCACACACCAAACGCTGGATATGCTACTGCTTCGCATATTCATACTGCTCGTGTGCACATTTTGAAAGTATTACCATTTGAAACTTGCACCTGCTTATTAAGTGCTGATTTCGTAAGAACCATCCGCAGTCCAAAACATGTCATAAGGATTCGAACTCTTCTGACCGCAAATAGATTAATCAGTCATGCAGAAGCTTTGGTGAAGTTTTTGCATGTCATAATTATGGCACTGCAGTGCAAAAGAACACAGGCGGGATTTGTTAGGGGAGGCCCTGGAATTCCATGAATGCAGCAAAGAGAGGGGAAGGGGGTATCACGACTGGCTTTGATAATTTTTTTTACTAATTTTATCGGTTTTAATAAATATTTCACAGAACACATGAGTACTGGTCTTGCAAGTTTGGGGCATGTAACCAATGGCGCACCTATCGCATATTAAGCAAATTAAAAGAGCAGAAATGATATCAGTTGTTTCTTAAAGTGTAGCTACAATGAACTTTTATTGTAAACAACTTTTTCTACATTTTTGTACTCTTCTCCATTTTATGAAAACTCTTTTACACTCCTATGTAGTGAAATGCACTGAAAAAGTGCAATTAAAATTATTTATGGAACTGAGGGCGCTGTTGCGGTGACATCATCTAGGGAAGACATAGTTCAGTGCATAGGTGTTTCTGTTCAAATTGCGAACCCAGAATTTACCTACTGAAAACATTTCTGAGAGGAATGACATTTTCTTGTTGCTATGCACATGAACAACAATAAATCATCAAAGAAGAGAAAACTGAGTCCAGGAAAATCTACAAAAGTGCAGGACTTTTGTGTACAAACCAATATAACATTGAGGCTTCTTCCTGAGATGACATCACAGTTTTGCTCATAAATACGGAAATACTCATTAGCATAAAAGCAAAAAGGCGTTAAAATACGCTTTATAATAGTGAAACAGAAGTTGAAAATAAGGTTAACTGAGGCAGAGTGGTGCCTTTTAGAGGTTTGTAATTACAAAAATCAATTGTAGCCACCCTTTAAATCCCCCAGGAGTACTAATTTATATAGCTCCCCTAGCCGCCAAACCAGTCGGTCTGTGTCTCCCATTTAGTCGTACCGTCCCCAGTGCATGGTTTTGAAACTTTGAAAGCCCCAATGCTACTCGTGCCTTCCTCGGCGCGGGCGGTTTGGAATGGTCGCCGACCGCTTATGTTCGTAATCCTGGAAAAATACGTGTCCTCTTCGAAATAACGTGATATGCCCGCGAACTAGACAAAGATAGGGCACCACCCGGGCTGCTAACCTCAAGATTTGAGCGTGAGCCTGAGAACAGACGGGACCCTTTCAAATAAATACGCGATCTCCACCACTGCAATAATCAGCTCATCAGTCCGTCCGTTTTCGTTTTACCAGAAATAAGCTTGCAGTCCATGAAAACTTCTGACACTTTGTTCAGAGCAAGACATAATGTGTAGTAGTTTTCACTTCATTTATTTTTTTCCAAGAAAGTGACCAGTAGCAACCTCTTTTTTCCAGCAACTAATACATGTCTCCGTGCATGATAATCATTTTCCACAAAGACCCATTTTAGGAACCACCAAAATTGTCACGCTTTTAAAGTTAACATATCAACTTTTCAGCTCACGGATATCGTATTTCGTGACTCTGGTTTAAGGGGAAACCCCTTTCAAATCCCAACTTGTCCCACCGGATGATCCGACTACCAGATTTCCTGTCGGTCCAGGGGACCTTGTTTGTGTTATCTGGCTTTCGATGCCTTAACCTGGAAACCATCAGTTGCGGTGTCCTTGACTGCTATAAATGTTAAATATTTCACGACATGGTGTTCTGCAATAATGCTGTGACCGGTACCCCACACTTGTTATATCTATTTCAGAGTGAATTCGCCCAAATCACTTGTTTGATTTTATACTTGACTGGTCATGATAAGAAACTGCCATGCTTTCCAGAATTTACGTTTATTCATATTTTCACAGTTGTAGTACCCCCCCCCCCCGGGGGGGGGTTGCCACCGCATCCCGCTTTCAGCTTAATAATTGTTGAAGCTGTTCGGGGAAGCCAATAAACTTCT